AAGAAGTGCAAGAGGACGCCCGCGCCCGCCACCTACAGTGACTGCCGATGATATGTTTTGCGCACAATACTGAAGGCTCCGAATGATGTGTACCCCACCGTATCGCTCGGCCCGCCGCTGCGGTACCTATTGCGAGGCTGAAGGGTGGATACTGGTGACCTGTGGTGATCTAGGGTGATCTCGCAGGTGATCTCGGCTGGCGGAGGTGAAGCCCCCCAGAGCGGGAGCTGGCGGGCCGGGGGCGTCGGTCGGGTGCGCGGCGGCACCCGTGCCACCGGGACGGGCCGTGGTGGCCCGCGTGGCAGTCATGAAGGGCCGTTTGGTGCGCCCCGGCCGATCTCGCAGGTGATCTCGGATAGACCTCTTGTTGATAGCCCGTGCGACTAAACCAGGTCGAGCACCAGCGCGAATCGAGGAGAGCGCGGTGGGAGGCGCGGGAGGCGGAGCCGGCGTGAAGACCACCACCTCATTCAGCCAGAGCAGGCGAGAGATGGGCTCCACCTGCTTGAGAAGCAAGTAGTCGCGCACGGCGCCTGTGGCGGTGAAAGGCGTAGCTTGGAGCAGCTTTGGAAGTGTGCTGCGTTTGTGTGTTGGGTAGGCCGGTCTTAGCGTGAACGAGCAGCGCTGCGCAGCGTTGGCACACGCGGCTCAGTGTGTCGACGCGCCTCCGCAGTCGGCAAAGAAGGGTCGGCCTTCGTGTGACGGCTCGGCGGCGACAGGCGCACCGCAAAGCTCGGCACGAGAGTAGGAGGAGCCGGCCCACACCTCGAAGGGAGCGAGCCCGTGCCCCTCAGGCGGATGGACGAGAAAGAGCGCAACAGAGTGGATGGCCCGCCCCGCCGGCAGCTGGATCGAAAGCTCGTGCCGCACGCCCAGCGCCGGGCCGCTGCAGTGCGTTGAGCGGAAATAGTCGACACAGCCCGATGCGTCGCCAGATGGAGATAGACGGGCTCGTACATGAAGGAGTCTCTTGAACGCTGTGACATTCGCGTGTGGTGGGACTGACAACATACATATACACAGCCTGGGTGGGGGTGCGAAAGACGGCGTCTTCCAAAACTTAAATTAAGGTCATTCACGGGTGTCCGCGGCCCACTGTGCCCGCTGGTAGGACAATGACCGCCGCAAACCCTGTGGTGAGCTCCATATGATCTCGGATATTTTTTGTAGGTACCGTAATATTAAAAAACTACTTTGTCTTCGAGTGAAAAGTAGTCCGAGAAAGCCCGCGGCCGCAGTGAATTAAAAGGCGCGGTTTTCGAGGGGGAATCTGGAGAATCTGGGAATCGGCTCACCACGGATCCCCACCTCATCGAAAAACTTTTCACTCCAAGACAAAGTACTTTTTTAAGGTGCTCTACAAGCTAGGCACAAAAGATATGGCATTGCAGGCCATTTAGGGCCCCTAGACGGTCACTGAGTAGGCCAAAATCCCCACTGGGCCGGGAGCAACCTTAAGTCAGAGTTGCCCAGGCCACCTGGAACCGTCGGCGTGGAAACAACCCTTCACGCGCTCGGCCCTAGCTCCATACTGCGTTTATCAGAAGACTAGCGAATTTTCCCAGTAAGAGCTCGCTAACCTAAAGAGTGAAAGTACTAGCGTCACGCACGGTCGACGCCAACTGCACGTGCTACTTGTGTAGGTACTTACTTACGTAGGTCGCACACGACCGCTGCTGCAGACCATGCCACGGTCCGACGAACGGCTGCGTGGCATGCGCATCGTGTACTTGCACGGGATCGGCTGCTCGCGCGGAACCTGCGAGCGCCACATCCACCTTCCTGCACTTCGGGAGGCAGGCGCGACTGTGATCTGCCCCAACCTGCACACCGGCTGGGAGGATTGGACAGAGTGCAACTCGCTGCTCCGTCACATGCTGAGGCAGCCGTTGCTGTGGGCCTGCATCGCTGGGACGATTGGCGTATCGGTTGCGATCGGTCTTCTTGTGCGCAGCAATGTAGCTTCTTTTGCTGTCGCGGCTTGCCTTGCGCTGTCCACCCGTGTGATAGATACATCGTTCCTCATGTCTCGACTGGCCCGAGGCGCAATGGACGATGCAATCGCCGTCACACGTCAGGTGGCGCGCAATGCCATTCGCGAGGCGTGCAAGTCCGATGGCGGAATCGACCTGGTGGTTGGGTATAGCTGGGGCGGCGGTCTTGCTGCAGTGCTCGCGGGCGAGTCTGAGTGGGCGTGGCGGGGCCCCACCCTACTGATCGCCCCTGCTGTTGTGCCGATGGTTTTCGGTACCGAGCCCCTCAGGCGAGGGATCTGTCTACACCCGGCGACAGCATGGCGGGCTGCCGTCACGCGGGCCTCGTGGACGCCCTCGGGCTCGGGCGGGCCTGCGACAATGGCTCGAGTGCTACTCCCGGGGGACGACGGAAAGGTGCCCGTGGAGCCGACCCAAAAATGGGCGCAGACCATGGGTCTTCCTATAGCTGTCGTCGAGGGCGCATGGCACGAGATTGGGCGAACGCCTGAAGAGCTCGACGCACTGTTGGACGCCGCTGCTCAAGCAGGCAGCGGGCACAGGTCCGCGTCCCCGGAGGAGCGGGAGCGCTGGATCGGCCCAGGGGTGCGCTGCTCTGATGATCGGCAGGCGCCGCTCCAGTACTATTGATCTGGGGTGGCAGCGGGGGGAGTTCAGTTGTTGAGGCTCGAGCATTGGCGCGGACGGAGCGGGGGGGGTGGTGCCCTTTGAAATCGATTCGGACCAAGCCAAGCCTCGCCCCGGCCCTAGACGATCGATGCCTCCGTGGCGACAAAAGTCAGCAGTCCACCTTCGGGTACTCTCTCTCTCTCTCTCTCTCTCTCTCTCTCTCTCTCTCTCTCTCTCTCTCTCTCTCTCTCTCTCTCTCTCTCTCTCTCTCTCTCTCTCTCTCTCTCGTCTCTCTCTCTCTCTCTCTCTCTCTCTCTCTCTCTCTCTCTCTCTCTCTCTCTCGGGTACGTACGTACTTTTAGCTTACGTACGGGGAGAAAAGGGAGAGCTATCTCTCTCTCTCTCTCGGGTATGTTTGGAAGAGCCACATACACAGACAGGGTGGCCCGCCACAACGACCCCTGGAATTGCGACTCGCCGCTTTCCTCCCGCTGTGATTCTGTGTGAGCTCTGTGTCTTGATTTGCCAACAACATACCTAAAACATACACTGAAAAGCTTGTCGCGTGTGTTCATGCGAGACGATCGAGGGGGTCCCGTACCATGCGGAACCGACCCTATCCAGTGCTCAAGTGCTCAAGCTTGTCGCGGACGTGTCGCCGCCGCAAGGATTACAAATGACCGTTTTTCGATGTTCTTCCGAGTCGCCGCAAGGACGGGCCGCATTCGAAACCGGGTTCGCTTGAGCATGTCCGCAAAACGCATGTGGTCGCTTCGTCCAGCCATCGTAGTCATACTTATTGCCTTGGTGCCTTCTTCGAATGCTGATACTGATATTGCGGATCCGCCTCCCTGCGGCCTCGACCAGCCCTTCACGGCGACCCGAACGAATGCGAGGGCCCTGGGCAAGTGGTGCAAGGCGCTTGCACCAGAAGGTGCATTCAATGCAAATGCCAAGGAGACATGCGAGGGGCACTACATCGGAACGGATGAGTACGTCACCAAGTGCGAGTATCGACGCAAGGCCAGCACCGACACGGAGTACTGGTGCAAAGCGGAGTGGCCTCCTGTTTACCACTGTCCGCCGGCTCCTCCTTTCTCTCCACCATCCATTCCGGACCCCCTCCCGCCTCTGCCCGCGCCATCGCCCCCGCCATCGCCCCTGCCGCCACAGCCTCCTCGCGGCTGCGGCCTCAACCAGCCCTTCACGGCGACCCGAACGAATGCGAGGGCCCTGGGCAAGTGGTGCAAGGCGCTTGCACCAGAAGGTGCATTCAATGCAAATGCCAAGGAGACATGCGAGGGGCACTACATCGGAACGGATGAGTACGTCACCAAGTGCGAGTATCGACGCAAGGCCAGCACCGACACGGAGTACTGGTGCAAAGCGGAGTGGCCTCCTGTTTACCACTGTCCGCCGGCTCCTCCTTTCTCTCCACCATCCATTCCGGACCCCCTCCCGCCTCTGCCAGCACCAGCGCCGCCACCGATGGCGCCCCTGGTCGAAGTGACCTTCAATGGTGAGACGTATCAAGCCTGCATCGGCACGCCAATCGCCGTCACGTGGAATGGTCTCTTTAACATCCTTGAGAAGAGCAACGAGACCCGCTGGGTCGGATGCGATAACGAGAGCGGAACGCTTGTCGAGCCGCATCACTGGAAAAACACCACGGTGACGTACAAGGAGGACGAGCTCGCGGCGGCGCCTGGCCAGAGGCGCTTTTTTGCGTCGGGGCCAGGCACCCTCTGCTCCGGCGGAGTGCCCGCCACAGCCAAATTCTCGGTGGAGTGCCTTGCTTAGGGGCCCACTAAGAGAGGAAGTGATGGAGAAGATGGATTGGCGGGCCCAGCAGGGCGTCGCATGCCTACTGAACCGGCATTGGAGCTTGGTACTGGCGTTCTCATTCATGAACGTAAGCGTAAAGCGAGAGTGGGCCACCGCCTGGCCACCGGCACCGCTGCGCCGTGCGCGCGCGGCCGGGGCCGCGAGGCCGAGGCCCGGCGCGGGGCACGGGGGCACACATATCAGCTCGCACAGGTGTGTTGTAGCGCGAGCCGCGCCGCCATCGCCATGGCTGCCGCCCCGCGCAGCGTCCAACGCCGCGTGTCTGACCGCGGGGTATCGCCCCATGGGGGATGGGGCTCCTCTACACGTCGCACATTTTCATTTATGAAATTACTTTTGTACTTGCACTACACTGTCAGTGGGGGCCCGCGGCACGCCTCCACACACACACCACCCTCGTCACCGAGACCGTCAGTCGAATGTCGTCAAACGCGTCTCTCGCGGCACGGGGTGCGTTGTGGAGGTTCGGGTCGCCCGTCCGCCCGCCGGCTCGCAGCGTAGTGGCAAGGGATGAGAGATCAGAAGACGCGTATCTCTCGCGTCTGTGAAATGTCAGTCGGTTTTGTTGGTAGGTTGCGGCGATGGCGGCGGCGGGAGTGCAGCGGGCGCCTACGAGCCAAGGGCAAGCCATGCGTTGGAGGGGAGTGCCTGGCTACCGGAGCCAACGGCTCTCCTCGCATCTGCGCGCGTGCGCGGTGTCTGTTTCCGCTTCTATGCGCCTCACCGCGCCGCTGCTGAGGCAGAGCCAAGCGGCGTACATAAAGGCAGCGCTGGCGAGGGTGATGGCAAGGGAGGTCCAGCCCGGGTGGTCGAGGACGAGGGAGAGGCACCTGCGGAGAGGAGAGGCAGAGTGAGGGCAGCCGCCCGCGCAGCGCGGCGCCGTCCAAAGAGCCGCTCGCATCCAGCAAGACCAGAAGGGATGCCACGCTCGGCGTATCCGCGGCCCTCGCAACGTCGCCTCCTGCGCGTCCAGCACCTGCGAGCGGAGCAGCGAGCCTCTCGCGCGAGCGGGAGGAGGGGGGGGAGAGAGAGGAGCGGGCATGTGTGGCGCGCCGCGCGAAGCATCGCCCCCGGAGCGTCGCTCGGCCCGTCAGTCGCGCCGTCGTACGCCTGCGCGCGAGGTGCGGCCGAAGTGCGGCCGAGGTGCGGCCGAGGTGCGGCCGAGGTGCGGCCGAGGTGCGGCCGAGGTGCAGACAAGATGTGGCCGAGGTGCGGCCCGAGGCTTGGCCGAGAGGGCCTCGTGCCTGCGCGTTGGCGGCGAGCCGCGTGCGAAGCGCCTCGTCGTCTGCCACCATAGAGATGTGCTCTGTGAGCTCGGCCGTGCCCTCGCCGAGCAGCCCGCTCTTGCCGTGGTCGACATGCATGTTGCACGATGCCATGGTGACGACGGGCAAGCCGCAGCGCAGCGCCTCGACGAGGGATCGGCCGTACCTGGGCAGGCGCCGGCGGGGTGAGAGGAGGCGGCGGGGTGAGAGGAGGCGGCGGGGTGAGAGGAGGCGGCGGGGTGAGAGGAGGCGCGAGGGGGCGGAGAGGAGGCGCGAGGGGGCGGAGAGGAGGCGCGAGGGGGCGGAGAGGAGGGGCGAGGGGGCGGAGAGGAGGGGCGAGGGAGGGGCGGAGATGAGGGGGCGGAGAGGAGGGGGAGGAGAGGAGGGGGCGGAGAGGCGGAGGGGCGAGGGGCGGGCATCGCACGTCTCGTTGTGCGCGGCCGAGACGTAGGCGTCTGCCTCGCGCAGCACGCACGATATGCGGCGGTGCGACACCTGCGAGACAAAGGCTGGCAGTGTGGCACGGCGCGAGCCGGGGACGGAGGGCGCCCTGTGTGGCCCCGACCGAAAGGGGGGGGGCGGGGGGGCGGCAGTCTCTGCCGGTCCCGCGAGAGGGGGGGGGGGGGGGGAAGGGGAGGGTGTCGTCTCGCGCGGCGCCTGTCCAAGGTGGATCACCGACGCAGGCCCCAGCCGGTCCGCCGCCGCGTGCACGAGCGGCTCGAGCTCGCCCGAGCCGGCGAGGTAGAGCGTCGCGCGTTTGGCGCGCCCGCTCCGCCGCGCCGCCTCGAAGGCCGCCACCAGCTCGTCCACAGACTTGTCGAAGGAGAGGCGGCCAACATAGAGGAAGGCGACGTGCCCGCGCGGCCGCTCGCGCATCAGGCTGACGGCGCGCTCCGCCGCGCAGTCCGCCTCGGGCAGCGCGGTGCAAAAGTCCGCCGGCACGCCCCGCGACTTGACGACGCGAGCCGGAGGGAGGGGCTCCCAGCTGGAGCCCCGCAGCACGGTCATCGGGCGGAGGTAGGCGGCGGACTGGTCGCCGTTGACGAAGATGTGGTCGAACTGGCCGTAGGACGTGGCGAGGCCCTGGGGGCAGGCGGCGAGGGGAGGGGGTGCCAGCCTCACTCGGGAGGGGGAAGGGGCCGGGGCGCTCCAAGCTGGGGCAGGCAAGGGACAGGCGGGCGTCTCGGAGGGAACGGGTCGGGGTGCTCCGGGCTGGGACAGGCTCAAGCTGGGACAGGCTCAAGCTGGGAGAGGCAAGGGACAGGCGGCCTCTGATTCCGGGGAGGAGGGCGCCCAGAGAGCTGCCGAGGCGCAGAGATCCGTCTCGCAGGTGTGGGAAGACTCTCCCCACTCTCTCCCCCTCCCCCTCTTTCCCCTCCTCGCCTGCCGGAAGAGCGCGTGCGCCGGCGCATAGTTGAGCCACCAGTACTCGGGCATCTTGCGGATCGCCTCGATGCAGAAGGTGGTCATGCACGCAATCATCGTCGGAGGCGACGGCAGCTGCATCAGCGTGTTGAGCCCGGGCACGCGGAACGTGTCGAGCACAAAGTAGTCCGGGTCCACCTATTCCGCAAGCGCAGCCCGCGGTCGGCCGGGACAGCGCGCCCCCTCGCGGCCGCGCGCTCGCAGCGCTACCACGAGGACGATGTTAGGCTCCCAGGCCGTAAGGCCCTTCTCCACACGCGAGAGGTCCGACGCGTCCATCTCCGGCTCGAACCCGCCTCCGCGGTTGCCCACCATGCGGTACGACAGGAACTGCAGCGTCGGCGACGGAGGCACCGGGTCGGAGGCCATGCCCGCCTCGACGGCGCGCTCCCAGACGGGCGAGTCGTCCGGATACGAGGGCCGCACCACGAGCACATCGTGCCCGTGCTCGGAAAAGTACCTCGCGTGGCCCATCACCGTGATGGCTGCACCGTCCACCTTGGGCCACCAAGTGTTGGTCACGTAGGCGATCCGCTGCCGCGCCGCGGGCCCGCCCGCACTAGCGGCCGCGGCGGGGACCACGTCCCCGCCGGGCGGCGCGCTGGCCGCGAGGCAGCTCCGCAGGAGCAGCAACAGCCACATCGTTTGCAGAGGCAGCAGGAGCCAGCCTCCTGCCTTCAGCGTCTTCAAGGCTGAAAAAAGAAAAAAAAGCGAATCAGCGCGCGTGTATTGTCGATTCTCCCTACGATTAGCGTGGAGCACGTAACCGCATGTTTTCTTCATGATCATGGAACAGGTCCCCGCCCTTGCGATGTTTGTGCAGGGTTCTTTGTGGGTGTGGTCGGCGACTAGCCGGGGTCGTCCTCCCGATGGCAGGAAAAGGGAGAGGCAGGCGCGATTTCTATAGGCCCTTGTGGGGGCCCTACCACTCAGTGCAGTCGGAGAAGCCGGTGAACGATGGGAGCCCAAAGCTGCCGGGAAGTAAGTAAGGTAAGGTAAGGTATGGTAAGGACTAAGCCGGGCCCACGAAAAGCCACGTCTGCGCACTGCGCACATGACGGCCAGCACAGGTGCACACATACACTGAGTACTCTGTACACACCGATCTCGCGCTGGAGAAAGAGGTGATTGCCATGCAGAAAGCCAGAGGGCTCAGCAGCAGTGCGTGCATCCGCACCGCGCGCCGTGCTTGTACCAGATCGCAAAGACGGGCAGGCACTGCGAGTCCTTGTACACCATGTACTCCGGGTGCTCGACGACGCCGCCTTGCTGAAGGGTGAGCGCTGCGACCGAGTTGAGCGGTCCGCGGCCGTCCGGCCGCTCCGGAGGCATCAGGGCGTCCCGCATGGGCCCTTGCGCGCGGTGCGCCTCTCCGAGGCACGCTCGCACGACGAGGACGCAGCGCTCGCCCGCCGCGTTTGGCTTGGTGTAGATGTCGGACTTGGACGAGTTTGCCGCGAGGTAGACAGCGGCGCCGAAGAGCTTGCCAAAGTGCCCCCCCGCGCGGCGCGGGTCGAGGCCTTGGAGGGTGAGGCGCTCGATCAGCTCCGACGGCGCGCCATGGTACAGCAAACGCTCGTTCAGCTTGAGGCCCGGGAAAGCCTCGACGTCGATGCGGGTGCAGAGGGCGTCGATGTCGGGGAGCGGCCCCACGCGCCGCTCGCACAAGCCGGCAACGTCCTGCAGCTCAGCGAGGTACTTCTCCTGCAGCCGCGGGTTGAAGAGTTGCTCGACCCGCTGCACCTCGAAGAGCGGCACGCCGCGATGCGGGTCGCCCTGCCGCGGGCCGCGGTGGCGCGTGCGCGAGTTGTGGAACTCCCTGACGAGGAGCGCGCGCGTCGGATCGCCGTCGCCGAGCAGGACAGCGCGTGCCGTCTGGTAGCGCGAGTAGAGGGGCAGCTTCGCGAGGTTGGCCAGCACCGCGGACTCGCACTTCGCCTCTGCCGCCGCATGCGCCGCCTCGTACGGCTGCAGCCGCGCCACCTCCGCCTTTTGCTCATCCAGGGAGGAGAGCAGCCGCCCCACGTCGAGCTTGCCGGCGGCCGCCGCCCTCGCAAGGGCCGCGCTCACCTGCGCCGCATCGCACGGGCAGTCCTGCTCTTGCGCCCACTTGAGCGCCTCGGTATTGCCCGCCGCTGCGAGCGCGCTGCAAGTGCGCTCGTCCCAAGGCAAGTGGACAGAGCGCAGAAACGATAGCTCCGCCACTCCGTGCAGCGTCGCTGCCGCCGCGCAGCACGTCTCGTCGGCAGGGCAGCCGAGAGCGAGCAGCCGCTCCATTGGCTGTGCTCTATGGGGCTGCCCTGGTCGGAAGCCGTCCGCGAACATCATGAGCGTCGTTTTGAAAGCGCCCGGGTGGCCAGCGAGCGCTGCGGCGGTCGACACGCCCCATGGCGCGCCGTTCGCGTGCGCCCAATCGATCAGCGCCACGTCGCCGCGCGAGGCCGCCACATCGCACGTCTTCCCCCAGGGGCAAATCCCGTCGACGAACTGCAGGTACTCGATGAGCTCGCGCCCTCCAGGCTGCGCTGCGGCGAGCTCGCACAGCCGCTCGCGGGGGCAGCCCACCGCCAGCGACCACTTCAACCGCGGAAGCGAGCCAACGGCCGAGGCCACGTGCGTCTTGAGGTGCAGCCGCGGCGGCGCGCCTCGGCGCAGCGCATCGCGGAGCGCACGGCAGCTGAGCGCGGCGGCGAAGCGATCGTCTTCGCCGATGTGCTTGGCGACGAGCTCCGAGACATCGCCTTTTAGGACCTCACTGGCGTAGACAGTCAGCGGGCCCGTGCGCTGGCGTCTCATTATGGGTTGGCTGAGATCCCTCTCGACAGGACAGTAGCTGACATGGATGGTGCCTGCCTTCTCGATGCCGTAATCCGCCACCGTGCGATCCGCGTCGAGCGGTTTTGCTGAGTAGGAGAGGCGCTGGAAGCCGGGAGGGACGCCCTCCTTCGACTGGATCTTCAACATGACCAGCAGTACCGAGTCGGATCGAGTGACGTCGAGCACCTTTGTGCGCCCTTCATATCGATAGAAGATCTGGAAGAAGTGCCCCTGGATGAAGGGCCTCGCGAGGCAGAGCAGCCCTGGGGCATCAGTCCACGAAGGGCCATGCTTCCATTCGCGTCCGGATTCTTCGGCAACGAATTTCGCGCCCAGACTTGCGTCCCAGACCTGCCACGTCACAGTCGAGGCCTCAGGCCGCAGGCAGCCGTCGCGCAAGCTCACCCAGCCACGGTCCTGTCCGAGGTTGGCTGCAGCTCCGACGTGCCAGCACTGACCGGCGTGCCACAGCATGACGCCGGTCAAGCTCACCGCCAGTGTGTACGATGGGAAGCCATTGACTAGCGCGGCGCGCTTGCGAAAGACGCCGAGCTTGTCGATCATCATGTTCTGCGGCGTCGGCCCGACCAGCGCGATCTGCGGCGCAGCCTTGGCCATCTCTGCGGCGAGGGCGTCGCCCGCGAGGCAGCGCAGCTCCGGGGCATCAACCCACGTGGTGCCGTCCCAGACTTGCCACGTGACGGTCGAGGCCTCAGGCCGCAGGGAACCGTCGCACACTCGCACCCAGCCACGCTCCTGTCCGAGTTTGGCTGCGTCTCCAACGAACCAGCACCGACCGGCGTGCCACAGCATGATGCCGTCATCGCCCGCTCTGGTGTACGACGCGAAGCCGTTGATGAGCGCGGCGCGCTTGAGGAAGACACCGAGCTTGCTGGCCTGCAGGTTCTGCGGCGTCGGCCCAACGAGCGCGATCGAGAGCAGCCTGCGGAGATGCGGAACGGCCGCCGCTCGGAAGGCGCGGCAGGAAGCGTAGGCTGCGCGCACTGCGTCCTCGGTGCAGAAGGAAAGGGCGAGGTCGAGCAGATCGTCCGTGGTGAGCACGTCGAGCAGAACCGGTGGGGCCCCGCTCGAGGGCGCGCTTGAGGCCGCGCCCGTGCGAGCGCTCCGACCCCGGCCCAGCGCCTCGAAGGAGCGCTTCATGCCGCCGGCTGAAAGGCGCGGTACGCCTGATTTGCGATTCCCAGCGCGCCACAAGGGAGGGAATCCCGGCTGACAGAAAACGGCTCCCAGCCCTGTCTCGCGCACGCCCCTGGCGGGCGCCGCGGAAAATGAAGCAAGGCCGCGGGCGGAGGTTGTGTGTGTGGGGGGGGTATCGTCACATCGATGGCGCCCGGGCGGTGGCGAACGCGCCGGTGTCTAGCGCCTCGCACGACACTGGGCACGGGACTGACTGGCGCGCACTGGCACTTAACACAGGTACACCGCGGGATGATTTTGTATGCCTTTCATGGGGTTACGCGTCCGCGGCTACAATGGCGACATTCTACTTCCTCGAAACGCTTCGCAAGAAGCGTGAATTCAAGAATTGAAAGAATTCCCTGAGCTCGTTTATCACGTTCGCCTTCCTGGGACCCAGCGGCTTCCAATTTTACTCGACTGTCGTGTGCGCGCTTTGGGGCGTGGGGCGTGGGGCTGGGTGGGGTAGGCGTAGGGCGTGGGGCGTGGGGCGTGGGGCGTGCGGCGGGGCCTGGGGCGGTTGCCTGATGGCGTGGTGATGGAGCGCACCTCCTCGACGATCGTCTCGGCTCTCGCCGAACTTGGAGTCGTTGACCTTCTTGGACGCCTTGCTGCCCGGCGACTGCTTGCCGCCCGGCGTCTCCGCCATTTCGCCCTGTGTGGACAGAGGTGCGTGGGGCGATTCAGGAGTGCCTGGGACGGCGGTGCAGTATGGGGGCTGCAGGGCTGCTCACGAAGTACGCGCGTCCCTTCTGCGGGGTGCTTGCCATGGTGCTGCGGTGCCGAGCGGGGAGAGCGGAGGGACCGATGCGCTAGATGAATCGAGTTGAGACCGGCGGGCGGGGACACGAATGGGATCCCTGAACGTTTCCGCAGGCGAAAGGACATAGACGTGCTTTTAAAGAAACCAAAGAAACCCTTGCAGCGCGCGTGTATTGTCGATTCTCCCTACGATTAGCGTGGAGCACGTAACTGCATGTTTTCTTCATGATCATGATGCTGCTGCTTGTCGATCTTTTTTAGCAATACCAAACAACTAACACTCACACGTCATTTGGGGCCTGGAGCCTGTGCCTGTTCTCACGCGCGCGCGAGACGTGCAGACAGGGTTGCCAGGTGAGAGCGAATGGCGCGGTTCACGCCTCGCACAACAGAGAGAGAGAGATGCGCTCTGCATATGGTGGGACATAAAAGAGAGCGAGTACTTGGGCGAGTAGGCCGTGCGGTCAACGCTGCCGCGCGCGACTTTGCGCGCGAGGCGGCGCAGCTTGAGAACGGCGGTGGGCGAGAAGCCGCCGCCGAACGTCTCGTGGAGCAGCAGGTTGAACGGTTGTTGCGCTTGACAAAGTTCACACAAACTTCAAAGATCGCGTCGTGATGTCGAGCGACAGGGAGGTTGCAGCCAGAGATTTTTCAAAACCACTCTCTTTTTTGTGTAACCATTCTCTTGCTTCGGTGTATCCCTTATTTAATCTAGTACGCTCCCAAGCAATCTCACTGAACACCTCCGTAGACCGCCTACAGGCTGAGGAGTCCCGAGCGGGAAAAATAATGATAGTTAGACCACCTCAGTTTTGAACCCCGTAGACCGTCACAAGCGCCTGAACGTGCTCCGTCTCGTACTTGAAGACGCAATGTCCTGCGGGGCGCACGGATCAGGGACTGTGAGAAGCTTGTTTGCTGCTGGCGTCGCCAGCAGGGTGGTGCACGCCACCGTCTGTTGAGCTGTCCCAGTGGCAGGTGCACGCGTTGGCGAGGCCGGCGCCAACATTCTGCTGGAGTTCGCACAGGACTAGGGCGGGAGGGGAGCGGTGAGCAGCGCGGGAGGGAGGACCTTCGTATTGTGTGTGTTTTTGTGCCGCTCGCACACCGACGAACTTGAATGGACGCTTGCCTTCGCGCGCCGCATTCTCGTTCTCCGCAGCGAGCTCCTTCAATATGTTCTCGATCACGACGGATTGCAGGTCCGACGACTTGGCGTTCCAGAGGTAATCGGGTGCAATCTCCTTTTGCACGATCTGCGGAACGGGGTGGCGGCCGGCCGCAGCTGAGACGCCGCCCCTGCCCTGATCCCCGAAAGAGGGGGGCAGCGCACCCGCTCGACCAGCGGTTTGATCGTCTCCCCCTCGAAGGCCACCCTCTCGTCGTCGTCCATGTCCGCCAGCTGCCGGGCGGTCCGCGCGTTTTGCAGGGAAACGGTCGAGTTCAGTGTTTGTTGTCCGGTCAACGCCGGGTTTGGGACTCCCCCTCCCCCGCCGCCCTCGTGATGGTCGGATTGACTCTCCGCTAAGACGGCTACACGCACACGAGCCGCGGTCGTGTAGCCGTCATAGCGGCGAGGCGCGGAGCCGTCTGTGGCGAAGGACCGAATAAAGCCGTAAGCGGAAAGCGCGCAAACCGCAGTATGGGGTCGCGAGTCGCGGTCCCCCCCGATTAGCGATTTCCTCAATACTCAGCCTCCACACCCTTCTACTGCGGTAACCGGTATCCCGTTTATCGGTCTCATTACACATTAGACATGACCGACAACGAACGCAAAAACATGCATGCACGTACGACCTACGACAATCTCAGCTACGAGCCGCCAGCGCCACGCCCCTCGCCCCGCGCCCTCCCCCGCCCGCCCCGCCCGCCCCGCCCGCCTCGCCCGCCCCGCCCACCGACCACCGCCGCGCCACCAGCGGGCGGTGGGTGTGGCACAGCGCGAGCGGGTGGCTGGTAGACAAACGTCGTCTGCTCCGCCACGTGTGTCCCAATAGCGGCGAGCGGCAGCGCCGGCTGGCGGCAGGCCGGGCAGTTGGTGTCGCGCTCCAGCACGCGAGGCGCACACGCCTCGCAGTACAATGCGTGGCCGCACGCAAAGCGGACCGATCGCGGCGCCGACCAGCAAAAGTCGCACTGGCGCGCCTCCCCGTCCGCCTCGGCTGCCGCCGCCCCCGCGAGGCTCTGCGACGGCGATGCCGCCGCCTCCGCCGCCTCGGCCAGCGCCTCGAGCCGCGGCAGCGCCTCTGCGAGCGGCATCCGCCTCTTCTTCCGCACGAGAGCCAGCCCGACCACGAGCCTCGCCACCTCCTCGGCCTGCGCCGCCGACCAGCCCGCGTCGGCCGCCGCGATGCTCTCCGCCTTGTCGGGCTCCTCTAATGCATCGTCGCACGCGTTGAGCAAGCCGACGGCGCCGCGGCCGGTCAGGCTGACGAGCAGCGTGATGCCGAGCGCGAAGCCGTCAGTGAGCTGCGAGGCCTGGTTGTCGTGCATGATGATCGAGTCCATGTAGCCGGGCTTGCCAAAGATACGCTGCGTTGACAGGTGCGACACCTGCTGGCTGGCGCCGGCCGTCGCCTCTGCCGCGCGCGCGAGGCCCACGTCGGCGAGGTAGCCGTTGCCGCGCTCGTCGAGCAGGATGTTGCCCGCCGAGACGTCGCGGTGCAGGATCATCGGAGAGCGCGTGTGCAGGTAGTGCAACGCGCTCGCCGCGTCGCGCAGCACACGGAGCCGTGCGGCGGAGGAGAGCGGCGGAGGCGGCGTCTCGAAGCCGAGCATGCGGAGCCGCTGCAGCGCGGCTGGCGTGCGGTAGAGGCGGTCCTCGAGGCTGCCGCCGCGGCAGAGGGGGTAGACGAGGCACGCTCTCACCGGCGCCAAGCAGACGCCGAGGAGAGGGAGGAGGGACGGGTGGGACGCCGCGCTGAGCGTGCGCACCTCGCTCTGCAGCTCGGCGAGGCCTTGGGCGCCGACACCGACCAGCGCCGTCTTGACGGCGAACCCGCAAGCGACGCGAGGGAGCGACGGCAGCGTGTCGCAACGGTAGACGCGCCCGAAGCCGCCCTCGCCCACCTTGCGCACCTCGGCAAAGCCGTCGGTCGCCGCGACTAGCTCGCTGAGCGGGACGGCGGCAGGCGGCGCGGCGGCGGCGGCGAGGGCGGCGACACTCGCCGAAGCCGCAGCTGCCACCGCTGCTGCCGTCGCCTCCGCTGCCGCCGCCTCTTGAGCCTCCACCGCCGCCACGGCCGCCACGGCCGCCTCTACAGCCGCCGCCTCCTCCTCCTCCGCCGCCCGCGCTACCGCCTCCGCCGCCGCCGCCGCCGCTGCCTCCGCTTCCGCCCTCATCCTCACCTCCTCCCTCTCCCTTGCCGCCTCCTCCCTCGCCCTCGCCTCTGCCTCCTCGCTTGCCCGCGACGCCGCCTCCGCCTCCTCCGCCGCCCGCGCCGCCGCAGCTGCCTCAGCCGCCCGCGCCTCCTCCGCCAGCTCCGCCGCCCGCTCCGCCGCCCGCGCTGCCGCCGCCGCCGCCTTCTCCTCCTTCTGCCGCTGCCGCTTCAGCGCCCTGGCCTCACGGGTCCTTCGCTCCGCCAGCTCGTCGCGCAGCAGCCGCGCCGCCCGCAGCGCCTCCGAGCCGTTGGCGACCTGGGTGGTGTTTGCGTTGATCGCCGCCCTGAGCGCCTCGAGATCGGCGTCGCCTCGGCCGCACGCCTCAACCGCCTCGCGCAGCGCCGCCTCGGCAGCATCGCGCGCCTCCGCCGCCTCCGCTGCCGCTGCCACCTCGCGTGCGGCCGCCGCGGCCTGTTCGGCTGATTCTGCGACCGCCGTCTCCCCCTCCGCTTCTGCTGCGGTCGACGAGTGCTCCTCGAGGGCGCGCGCGCACTCGGCGTGGCCCTTCTCTTTGGCCCACCAAAGCGCCGTCTTGCCGTCAAAGGTAGGCGCCGCAGCATCTGCGCCCGCCCGCAGCAAGTGCCGCACGACGGCAGGGTGGTTGAGGAAGGCGGCGTACATCAGCGCGGTGAGGCCGTTGCTCTGCAAGTCAACCCCAGCGCCGCGCCGTATCAGCAACTCGACCACCCGCTCGTGGCCGCTGTAGGCGGCGCCCATCAGCGCGGTGAAGCCTTGGCTGTTGTGCAGGTTGACATCAGCGCCGCGCCGTATCAGCAACTCGAGCACCCGCTCGTGGCCGTCCTGGGCGGCGAGCATCAGCGCGGCGCCGCCGTTGCTGTTCTGCAGGTTGATCCCCGCGCCGTGCCGAAGCAGCAAGTCGACCACCCGCTCGTGGCCGTCGCGGGTGGCATACATCAGCGCCGTGTTGCCGCCTCTGTCCTTCAGGTTGACCTTCGCGCCGTGCTGTAGCAACAGCTCGACCACCCGCTCGTGGCCGTGCTTGGCAGCGTCCATCAGCAGCGTGAGGCCGCTCACCTCGTCTCTCTCGTACGTCGCGTTGGCCCGCCCGCCGCCCTCAAGCCACTCCAGTATCACCGCCTCGTCGCCTCGCTCAGCTGCTGCCACGACCTCGTCGGAGACTGCCGCGGCACCGCTCGACGCCCGCTCCGCCGCCGCCGGCGACAGATTACCCGGCCGCACCCGCACGCTCTCGCCGCCGCCCTCGAGCGCCACTGCGTACCGCCCGCCCTCGAAGCTCTGCGCCACACCCCGCTGCCCGTTCAGCTCGGGGCGGGAGGAGAGCCCGCCGAGCACGACTCGCTGGCCGAGCACCGCCTCGCGCAGCGCCGCCTCGGCAGCATCACGCGCCTCCGCCGCCTCCGCTGCCGCTGCCACCTCGCGTGCGACCGCCGCGGCCTGTTCGGCTGATTCTGCGACCGCCGTCTCCCCCTCCGCTTCTGCTGCGGGCGACGAGTGCTCCTCGAGGGCGCGCACGCACTTGATGTGGCTCTTCTGCTTGGCCAACTGCAGCGCCGTTTTGCCATTCCTAGTGCGCACCGTCGCGTCTGCGCCCGCCCGCAGCAAGCGCCGCACGGCGGCGGGGTGGTTATAGTGGGTGGCAAGCATCAGCGCGGTGAAGCCGTCTCTGCCCTGCGAATTGACATCAGCGCCGTGCCGGATCAGCAAATCGATCACCCGCACGTGGCTCATGCCGGCGGCGCCCATCAGCGCAGTGAAACCATCGCAACCCGGCAAGTTGACCTCAGCGCCGCGCCGGATCAGCATGTCGATCACCCGCTCGTGGCCACCATAGGCGGCGCCCAAAAGCGCGGTGCCGCCAATGCTGTTCTGCAGGTTGACCTTCGCCCCGCGCCGGAGCAGCAGTTCGACCACCCGCAAGTGGCCTTGGTTGGCGGCGGCCGTCAGCAGCGTGCAGCCGCTCACCTCACCTCTCTCATACGTCGCGTCGGCCCGCCCGCCGCTGTCAAGCCACGCCAGCACCGCCTCCTCGTCGCCACGCTCCGCCGCTGCCACGACCGCGTCGGGGGCTGCCGCGACACCGCTCGACACCCGCCCCGCCGCCACCGCTGGGGATAGCGTCTTCGCGACTCTCGATCCAGCCGCGGAGGAAGCGCCGCCTGCGCCTTCGCCGCCGGCTGCCGTCGCCGTGGGCCGTCCCGCCACCACCTCCTGGACGTGCTTCTTGAAGGCCTCGACGCACTCGGCAATGCCCTGCTCCTTGGCCCACTGCAGCGCCGTCTTGCCGTTCGCACTGCGCGCCGCCATGTCAGCGCCCGCCCGCAGCAAGCGCCGCACGACGGCAGGGCGGTTCAAGAGGGCGGCGTTCATCAGGGCGGTGAAGCCGACGCTGCTCTGCTGGTTGACATCAGCGCCGCGCCGAAGCAGCAAATCGACCACCTGCTCTTGGCCTTGGCTGGCGGCGCGCATCAGCGCGGTGCAGCCGTCGCTGTCCTGCAGGTTGACATCAGCGCCGTGCCGTATCAGCAGCTCGACCACCCGCTCGTGGCCGCTGGCGGCGGCGTACATCAGCGCGATGTCGCCGTCGCTGTCCTGCAGGTTGACCTTCGCCCCACGCCGGAGCAGCAGCTCGATCAGCCGCTCGTGGCCGTGCTTGGCAGCGCCCATCAGCAGCGTGATGCCGCTCGCCTCGCCTCTCTCGTACGTCGCGTCGGCCTGCCCGCCGCCCTCGAGCCACGCCAGCACCGCCTCCTCCTCGCCTCGCTCAGCCGCATGCACAACCGCTTCGGAGACTGCCGCGACACCGCTCGACGCTTGCTCCGCCGCCGCCACTTGCCGCAACCTCTCCGGCCGCACCCGCACGCTCTCGCCGCTTCCCTCGAGCGCCACAGCGTACCGCCCGCCCTCGAAGCTCCGCGCCTCGCCCCGCCGCCCGTTCAGGTCGGGGCGGGAAGAGAGCCCATCGAGCACGACGCGCTGCCCAAGTAGCGGCGCGTCGGCAGGCGGCGTGCCACACACTAACTCGGGCATTTTGGCAGCTCCCGCTGGGCGCCAAAGAAAGATTGAGATTTCAGTATGTTTTCTTTTCGCGTTCTCTCAGGCCTTCGACCTCGCACGGATGCTCTCCACGCTGGTCGCCGCGAGCGCGTTCGCGCCAACGCATGGGCCGCTGCGCGGCTTGCAGCCGCGCGGCCGCGCTTCGGTGGCTCTTCAGGAGACGGGCACCTTCACCTCGGACGGCGCAAAGTCGCAGGTTGGGAACGACGCGTTTCTGAATGAGGACCTGATGGGGCGCGCGATCCGCGGCACGGGCGTCGTGTCCGACAAGAAGCTCAAGATCGGGGTGGTCGGCGCCGGCCTCGCGGGCATGGTCGCCGCCATGGATCTCGCGGACGCCGGGCACGACGTGGAGATCTTTGAGCTGCGGCCGTTTGTCGGTGGCAAGGTTTCGAGCTGGATGGACCGGGACGGCAACCACATCGAGATGGGGCTGCACGTCTTCTTCGGCTGCTACTACAACCTGTTCGGCATCATGCAGCGCACTGGCTCATACGACCTCATGCGCCTCAAGGAGCACACGCACACCTTCATCAACAGCGGCGGCGGCGTGGGCGCGCTCGACTTTCGCTTCCCTATCGGCGCTCCGGTCTCCGGGCTGCAGGCGTTCGCGCGCACGGAGCAGCTGGGCGTGAGCGACAAGCTCGCCAACGCGCTCCGCCTCGGCACCTCGCCCATCGTCCGCGCGCTCGTCGACTTCGACGGCGGGATGGACATGGTGCGCGAGCTAGACGACATCACCTTTACCGAGTGGTTCACTCAGCTCGAGGGACCGCTCAAGGGGTCGGCGCGCGGGTCGATCGACCGGATGTGGGACCCGATCGCGTACGCGCTCGGCTTCATCGACTGCGACCACATCTCCGCGCGGGCCATGCTCACCATCTTCATGCTCTTTGCCATCCGGACCGAAGCGTCGGTGCTGCGGATGCTCGAGGGCTCGCCGCAGACGTACCTGCACGACCCGATCATCAAGTACCTGGAGGAGCGGGACGTCAAGATCAACCTGCGCACGCCGGTGCGCGACCTCGTCCACGAGGTCGACGCGAGCGGCAGGCCCACCCGTGTCAGCGGCATCAAGGTCAAGCGGTCGGTCGCGCAGCGCGAGGATGCCGTCGAGCAGGACGACGCCGTCGAGGACGGCGACACGTCTGAGGTGCGCGAGTTCGACGCGGTGGTCTGCGCGCTCGACCTGCCCGGCATCAAGGGCGTGCTGCCGCCCTCCTTCCGCAAGATGGACTTCTTTGACAAGATTTACAACCTCGACACGGTCCCGATTGCTACGGTACAGGTCCGGTTCGACGGCTGGGTCACGGAGATGTGCGCCACACACCCCGACCCCGACCCCGACCCCGACCCCGACCCCGACCCCGACCCCGACCCGGCTCGCGCCGCCGCCGCCCCTCCCTCACCCCGGCGTGGGAGCGCGCCAGGCACGACGAGGCGCGCATGAGGGACGTCGCCGGCGACCAGTCCGACGGGCGCGGCGCCGGGATCGACAACCTGCTCTACTCGGCCGACGCCGAGTTCTCGTGCTTTGCGGACCTGGCGCTCACGTCGCCGGGCGAGTACTACAAGGAGGGCGAGGGGTCGCTCATCCAGGCCGTCTTCGACGAGCGGGCGGTGAAGCGCTCCGAGTCGCAGCTGGTCGAGGACTGCATCGCGCAGCTCAACGACCTCTTCCCGAGCTCGAAGGGGCTCAAGTGCACCTGGTCCAAGGTGACCAAGCTCGGCCAGTCGCTCTACCGCGAAAAGACGGGCCAGGACAAGTTCCGGCCGACGCAGGCGCGGCCTCCCCCCTCCTCACACACGCGCACCACACACACATCGCTAAGCCGCATGCTGCGACGGCGCAGGCGACGCCCATCGACAACTTTTTCCTCGCCGGCTCGTATACGTACCAGGACTACCTCGACTCGATGGAGGGCGCGACGCGGAGCGGACTGATGGTTGCTGACGAGATTGTCGCCCGTGCCGACAAACTCGCGGCTGCGGCGGAGAAGGCCAAGGCCACACCAGTGGGGGCGGCGTGAGCCGCCAACCCTTTTCCTTTTTTAACCTCTGACCGAGAGTTGTGTTCGTGGAGGGTTGTGCGCACCGCCGCGGGTCATGGGTCTACGTAGGGTTTCGAGCGCGCGGTGGGAGAGCGACATAATCTCTCAAAATTAAGCGCGGACCGGCTCGCGACCCTCTCGCGAACACCACGCCGCGAACACCGGCCCTCCCGAACCTCCCACGATGAGAAACCAGCTACGGGGCAGGTTGCGTTCGTTTGTCACTCGCCATGCGCGTCCTTGGCTGACCCTCCAAAACTCCCTCCCCGCCGTTCGCGGCTCGGCTTGCGTATGCGGATGGGAGCTTCGAGGACATGCAGGCGTCCCACCCCCTCCGGCCATCCCCCCGGCTCCCAAGCGCGCGGCCGCGACGCGCTGCGCACCCTCTTCCGCGCTGGACCCGCTCTCGGCATGGCCGTCGTCCGCCGAGATCACCTCCTCTTCGCGCCGCAGGTGCACAACCAAGGGCTGGCCACCTCCGTATCCATCATGGTGAAGCCAATGGGCCAAAAAGGGAGAGCGCTCCCCTCCCAGGTGGCCGGAGGGTACACCTCGGGTCGGCGTGCTGGGGGGGGCGCCGGTGCGCAAGCCCACTTTCCGGGCGACCCCGAGGGGGAGGAGGCCGGGCGAGTGGCAGCAACTCACTGTTAGTGTCCCGGGCCGCTGCGGCGCCGTTTATACGGCCCCTCGTGATGTCTTTCCGATTTTGCATTGTGAGCCGTCCTCTGGCCAGCCGAGGGGCACCAGAACGGCATGTGTACTGTGCTGGCTGCGGGTGCGGAACGGGCTTTTTTTAACTCGCAACCAACTATACTATACAAGGACACCCTCGGGGGGGACACTCGGCGCATGTGCGTCACGTCAGGGTGGAGTTGGCAGTGGCCGAGCGTCGTCTCCCAATCGACTCGCAGCGCGGAGTCGAGGGGTGAAGCGCGTCGCGCTGCGACACTCGAGAGCCGGCGGGATAGCCGTGGGGCGCGGCCGACTTTGATGTCCTCGAAGGTCCGGTGCTCATTCGTCCTCTGAGACCCACGCGGACAGGAAAGGGGCGAGAACGCGGCCATTCTCCATTGACAATCTAACGCAACCTTGAGCTAGCCTGTTCCACACAGTGCCAAGTCCAACGAACGCCCAACGATAGAGCGCACTTGATAGAGCGGCCCAACACCCCAACTCGGCTTTTTCCTTTTAGGGCCGTGTGGCCCAGACCACGCCATGACACACGCGGGTCGCGGCCGGGGCCAAATCGTGAAAGCAAATAACTCCAAAACGTCTATTTACCGACTGCCACACCCATCCCATGCGCGCCCCTCCCCGCGGTCCCGTCGGGGAGGGCCCCACGGCGCCTCCCCCCACTCCTCACGGCCATCGGCCTGCTGCTGCTCACAGCGGCCCGACCCCTCGCCTCGCCTCGCTGGGGATGGAAGGAAGGACCAGCCTGCTCGAGCCGTCCACCCAGACGCGCACCTTCGCCGCCATGCCCGTGCGCTGCTCGCCGAGGGGCACCCTCGGGTCGTCGCACAAGTTGCGCATCCAGCGAGGGTGCGCCGCCGAGCAGACGTGCAGACGCACCCGCGAGCCGCGCGGGAACTCGGCCGCCACCGGCCCCAGCTCGACGCGCGCCTCGACGCCGGGGCCGTCTACGCCGCCGCCCACCTGGGCGCCTCCCGAGGCGGCGTCCATCGGCGCGCGGAGGCGGAGCATTCCCTCGCAGAGGTTGACCTGCGCGCAGAGGGGCCCGGTGTGATCTTGCTTCTGCGGGAGGGCGCTGCTGCTTGCGGAGCCAGGCTTGCTGCCGGGGGGGGGGGGGGGGGGCAGGCGGTGCCTCCCCAAATTGGGGCCAGAAGGGAAAGGGGCGGCGGCCCCCCCCCCCCCCGAGGTCAGTCCCGAGGCAAAGGCGGCCCACCACTTCAATGGACGGCGCACCCCCCGCGACACGGACCGTCAGCCCGAAGGGCCCTGCAAAAGTGAGGGGCTCGGGCAGCCCCCCCCTCAAAAAAACAAGCACGTCCCGCCCCCCCTCGACTGAGGCCTGGCTGCCCCCCCCCCCTTTAAAAATTTTAAAGGAGGGGCCCCCC